CATTCGCTGTCTCTCCCTCGCGCGTGCACTCGCCCCCGTTCGCTGTCCCTCCCTCTCTCTCTCTTTCGTGTGCGCTCTCTGGCTCCCGCTCGCTCTCATTCGCACTCTACCACTCGCGCTTCCTCTCGCTTGCACTCTCTCTCACGTGCGCGCTCACTCTCTCTCTCACACTCAGAGGCACTCTCTCTCATTCTCTCTCTGTCGCGCTCGGGCACGCACTCGCTCTTGCTCACGCTCGCTCACTCTCACTCTCGGGCACGTGCTCTCTCTCTTTCACGGGTGCACTCACTCTCATGTTCGCTCACTCTCATTCTTGTGCGCTCCCGTTTGCTCTCTAGAGAGAGAGCGGTCCCTGAAGCAGGCAGATAGGGGTAGGGATGTTCCACTCCTGAACATCCCAGATGGCCTCTTATTTCAAGGACCGCAACTTCCCCCTTTCAGTGATCAAAAATGCTCTCAACCGCATTTCTTGCGTTTCCCGCACCTCTGCTCTCACATGCTCTCCCTGCAACAAAAACAAAGACAGAATCCCCCTTGTCCTCACGTATCACCCCACTAATCTCCGGATTCAACGTATCATTCTCCGCCACTTCTGCCATCTGCAATCTGACCCCACAACCAAGGATATATTTCCCTCCCCACCCCTATCTGCCTTCCATAGGGACCGCTCTCTCCGCAACTCCCTCGTCCGATTCACACTCCCCACTAGCCCCCACCACCTCCGGCACCTTTCCCTGCAACTGCAGCAAATGCTACACCTGCCCCTATACCTCCCCTCTCACTTTCATCCAAGGAACCAAAAAAAACCTTCCACATCAGAATGATGTTCACCTGCACATCCGCTAATGTGGTTTACTGCATCCGCTGCTCCCGATGTGACCTCCTTACATTGGTGAGACCAAGCGGAGACTCGGAGACCGCGTTGTAGACAAACAACAACACCTTCCAGTCGTGAACCACTTCAACTCCCCCTCCCACTCCCTGGACGACATGTCCATCCTGGGCCTTCTCCAGCGTGACAACGACGCCCCCGGAAACTGGAGAAGCAGCACCTCATATTCCGCCTTGGGAACCCACAGCCCGATGGTCTCAATGTGGACTTTACTAGTTTCAAAATCTCCCCAGCCCCGGCCTCATCCCATGACCAACCCTCCCTCTCATCCCCGCCTCCTTGACCTGACCCAACCTGTCCCGTCTTCTTTCCAACCCAATTTGCTCTTCTCATCTCTTTGACCAACCCCCACCACTGCCGACCTGCACTCACCTATCACCATCCCACCTACCTTCCCCAGCCCCCCCAAACCTCCTCTCTTTGTTTATTTCAGAGCTCCCTTCCCCCTCCCCCATTTCTGAAGAAGGGTCCCGGCCTGAAACATCAACTTTCCTGCTCCTCTGATGCTGCCTGGCCTGCTATGTTCCTCCAGCTCCACACTGTGTATCTATGGCCTACATGAGACTCCAGACTCACAGCGATTACTTCTGAGCAGTTAGAGATGGGTAATAATTGCTAGAAAAAAATCTAACCGGGATAGACAGGTTAGATGCAAGAAGCATGTTCCTGATGACAGGGGAGTCTAGAACCAGGGATCACAGTCTAAGGATATGGGTTAAATAATTTCAGACTGAAATGAGGAAAAATTTCTTCACCCAGACAGTAGTGAGCCTGTGGAATTCTCTGCTAAAGAAAGCAGTCAAGGCCAAAACATTGTACAATTTTCAGAAGGAGTTGGATATAGCACTTAGGGTTAAGGGGATCAAAGGATATTGGGGGGGGTGGTGGCGGAGGCTGGGTGGAAGCAGGAACAGACTATTGAGTTGAATGATCAATGATAATGAAAGGTAAGCACCTAATGGCTTACACCTGCTCCTATTTTCAATGTTTCTATGGTCTGAAAGCTGTTTAAACATTTATGTTAAGAGGTCTGCTGTGTCCCAATTTAAATGAGAGAATTTTATGGATATTATAACAACATGCTTTTGATCCTCCCCTGTTTTCTGCTGTTTAAGTACATACCCTGATCATTTGCCTTTCTCAAATGGATTGAACCTTTGATAGCGGTTTGATAACTTATCATCAAGCTATGTTTTCAACCCTCTATGACACTGTCACACAAAGACATCGAGACTCTCTCATTATTTGACTGCTCACCATGTTTTTCCACATGTAGATTAACTTGCTTGTTTCCTGTTCAAGCATGACAGGCTTTATCAGCACAATGTTTTCCACACTGCTCACCATGTCACGTTAATGATAATGGTCTAACGATCAATCACTCATCACAAATTGATTAACTCTGGGGGAAATGATTGATTTAAAACAATAAAACACGTGGTAAGTTATGAATCAGACATTACAACAAACAGTTCTGAAGCGGAGTCACTGGACTCAAAATGTTAACTCAGCTTCATCTCCATAGATGCTGC